TGTTTTCCGTCTGTCTGACGCGCGTGCACGCGCCTGCCGCTCTGGCGCTCATTCAGTAAAGATTAAAATTTAACACAGACTGTCAGGACGGACCTTTATGCAAAAATGGAAATGCTCGCGTGAATTTGTGACATTTATACATAAGGATATGACCGTTAACTGAAAGTTTTTTAGCTTAAAGCTTAAAATAAAGAATTCTCATGTTTTGGGTAGTTTGGATCACGTAATCTCATTCTGTTTCCTCCACTATTTTAGATGCATTTTGTCCATAGAAATAAGTAATTCAGTGCTTTAATTTGACGCGACCGGCTGAAGTTGGACAAATATGTAAACTCTGTTGGACGTGCACTGTGGGCAGACCCGATTAATCGATAATGAGAATCGTTGTCGATGATTTTCATAATCGATAATAATCGATTTTATCGATTAGTTGTTGCAGCCCTAGTTAACACCCGGTTATGCATGAAAAAAAAATACCGTCATGTACCGTGAAACCGGTATAATTTTGAAAAATACCGTGATATAAATTTTTGGTCATACCGCCCAGCACTATGCTATATTTAATATTATGAGATAGATATATCTATCCATTGCCCCTATGTGTGTGTGTGTGTGTGTGTGTGTGTGAAAAAATGTAAATAAATAAATATGTTGTTACTTTATACTTGATGGATGCATCACATGATTTTTTTTTTTCTCATAAAAAGATTTCAAAGCCATATGAAGCCAACATGAATACATTTATAAGAACTGGCATGTTTTAAACTACATTTTTAAATGATTTTTGGACATTCCAAATGGTCATTAGCAGTCTATTATAGTGGTTTTGTAGTAATAATTGTTTCCTTTTCTCTTCAGATCAATTTCTACTGTGGTATCTTCACGTTGGCCTGCCTCAGTGTTGACTGCTATCTGTCCATCGTCCATGGAGTACAGCTGTTTTCTTGTAAAAAGCCTGTGGTGGTTCACTGTTGCTGCCTGATTATCTGTGTCCTCTGCCTGCTCCTTTCCATCCCTAATTGGATCTTTCTGAGCCCCATCAGTGGCACAAATGAGGGTAAACGGGAATGTATTCACTCTTATCCGCCCGATTCCTGGCATCTTGCCTCTCGTTTTCCACATCTTTTTGTTCTACCGGTACTTGCGCTGCTGTGCTGCTGTTCCTTTGTCCTGCTAAAGTTACGGCACAACTCAAAGTGCCAGCAGAAGAAGAAGGGCCAAAGTACAGCTATCATTGCAGTCCTTGTGCTGGTTTTCTTTATCTGCTGGACACCCTACAACATTACCTTCATCGTGAACACTGTTCAGACATCAGAGAGCGTCTCTTCAGCAGTGGCAGAAGAGTGTGAAGGGAGGCAGTGGACAGCTAGCAAAATAACGGCAGTTTTTGGGCTTCTCCATTGTGTTGTTAATCCTGTCATTTACCTCTGTCTCTCCAAAGAGTTCCGGCATCGTGTACTGACTATGACACAGTTCAGTGCTTGTAAAACAGAGAGTAATGATGTTTCACTTTGGGACTCTAGTGTAGTAAATAGAAACGCATCTGTCCAAGAGGAACAAGGTTCACTTCAACCTATGAATGACATTAATTCAACAATAAAACCCCAGGATCATGATACATGAAAAATATGGATCATAAAACATTGACTGCTGGACGCACTGTATCTCGTAATTCCTAAAATGTATGTTATGCATTCTTCATTTAACATGTGAGCATTTAATAGATATCACTAAGTATGGAATAACCCAGTCAGCCAAGTCCTCCAAAGGTTTCTGTACATGTATTCTGGAATATTCTCTCATTATGGATGATAAAGGATGGACATGAAGGAAGGACATGACATGCTGGCCAACTCATTTGCACTTTAATTCTGTTTAATTTCATCAGTAAAATGATCATATTGGGAATTATATGTTTATTTATTTTCGCTGTGCTGTTAATGTTTTGGAATAATGTTCTGGAACAATGTTTTTAGTAATGGATTGATATTATCAGCCAGTATTTGGCCATTGGTCGGTTCTGTGCCCACTTGCTTGGTTAACAGATGTCTTCATTCCCACTCAATTACAAAATCATTTTCAATGGATAATTACCTTTTTTTTTTTTTGTCAAATTTAACTATTGTGTGAAATCTTCATTTCAGTATTCAAAACTTTTGTACATACATGTATGCGTGTATATATATAATTATAGTGTATTTATATGTAATTGTGACATTTAAATTGTACAAAAATTTAAATATATGTAATTATGTGACAATTATTGTACTTTTAATTACAATTGCACAACACACGAAATGTCACATTTTACAACCATTTAAACCTGCTAACTTATGAGGCTTTGCATGGTTTGGCACCTCAATATTTGTCAGAGCTTTTAACTCCCTACACCCTAATGCATGACCTGAAACTGAAATCTGAAATCTGAAACTGGTCTGTTAACTGTTCTGTCAACCCGTTTAAGATCGATGGGAGATAGGGCTTTTTCTTCACTTGCTCCAAAACTATGCGAATCTTTACCTATTGAGATAAGGCAAGCAAAATCCCTTGGCATTTTTAAATCTCACCTTAAAACTCATTTCTTTAGGGTAGCTCTTGCTTGAATTTTTGTATTAAGTCCATATTATTCTATTTTTAAGTGTTTTGAGTGCATTTCTTCTCTTCTTCTTAATTTTTATAGGGTGTATTTTGTTATTTTATTTGTTTATCTAAAGCGCTTTGAGATGTAACATTTAAAGGTGCTATAGAAAATAAAGATTATTATTATTATTATCATCATCTATGTTACATTTATGTTTGTACCATACATTTATTTCTGTCTATTAAATCTGTTGCAGGTGGGAGAAACCGTTTTAAATGTGTTAAAGTGTGCTCAAATTTAATCAGTACCATCAGCGGATCTGCTGATGAATAAGATAAAAATAAGATCATTTCTGCTCCCATGACAGGAAGTCATGTCAGTTGCTTAGTAGTTTCTTACATGTTTTTTTTTTTTAGAAGTCGGTGGTCTCTGGAAGGGTGTGTTCTGTTACTTCATAAGTTTTAAAAAGTGTATAAAGGAACACAGTGCTATTTTAATGTTCCATCCAAATTCTTCTCTTCACTTTGAAGTAGTTTCCTTAGTAGAGCTTATGTTCTACTAATTTTGTGAAGCTCAGAATATTCATATATATATTGAAGATTACTTTATTAATTGCTCATCAAATAATAAGAGAATAAGGATTTGACATTTGTGTAGTTTTCTGTGAGATAGGGGTCATAAAGGATTCTTTTCCCATGTTGCATAACCAAGTGATCTTCTGAACCCTTTTGGAGGAAGTACTTTCTTCCTGTGATATTCATAGCACTTTCTGTGCAGGGTGAACTGGTAATTGGGAAAGACCGTTGTTGGGAAAGACCATTGTTGGGATTTTCAGACATAAATTCTTTGGTGTTCTTATGAGTGGAATATCCCCATTGACAGAGATGACAACATGTGGTGAACAGAGAGAGAAAACAGGCACTGTATGCTTTCATCATTTGACTGTACTGCAATGTAGTGTCCTTTCGAAATACTTTCAGGATGTCGTCATCCTGAACAACAGAAGGGCCTGTGTGTAGTATATACAAAGTGTGAGGAACTGACCGTTAAGCAGTTTTTTACATATCTGTAAACTGCCAAAGCACATTTTAATAAATGTGTCCCACTCCAATGACTTTGTGAATGAATAGACAGTCCATTTTGAATAGACTGGTTTCTTAGAAAGTTCTTTGTATTGTAATGTGTTCTGATGCCATGCACACAAAAATAACCACATGTGTCTGACACGCTTCAGTTCCTCTTCTGAAACAGAACATGTGGTGAGCATTACTGTGAAAATGACAGCATGATTGCATTGTCATGCGACAATATCGTCATCAATGTTCCATCTGATATTTCCCATGAGTCATCATTACATGAAAGAAAATAAAGAAAATGAGAGTATGTAGTTGGATTGTCAGAATTTCAGCTATATTCACACCACTTTCGGAATGAGGAAATTGCATTTTTGCTAAGTGTTAATTTCCAGTGCTGTTGTGTGTTTGTGTTACTGCGTACTTAAGTACTGTTAAAATCAGATACTCTAAGACTTTTACTCAAGTTGTTTTGGAATTGGTGACTTGTAACGTGTAGTGGAGTAATTTTCACTGTAAGGTATCTGTACTTTTACTTAAGTATGGTTTTTAGGTACTCTTTACACCTCTGGTTTTGAATTGTGTTTTTGTTGTTCTTCTTTCTTTGGCTGGACCAGTATCAAAAAAGTAGTGTGTGTGTTCTGTAGTACCCCTGGTAGATGATGGTGGAGAGCAATAGAATAGCTTGTTTAATTCTTACAGTATGCGTCTACGGTTATTTTCTATGAGTTTGTGGATATGCTCGGCCCTGGCAGCTTTTAGAGCCTGTCTATAGCTGGACATACTGTTTTTCCAGCAGTCATTTCTTTGTCCCAGCAACACTTCTTCCGGCGTCCCACCCTCTTCCTTCACATACCATCATATTGGGGAGCGCGAGCTGAACCTTGGTTTTGAGACTCCTTCAAGGACAGCAAGCCAAGTTCGTTGACCATTATCTATCAAGACGGAATGGGCAGGCGAACTCGTGAAATGTTCTAAATATAGGCCTACATTACTTAGTCATATTTGTGAATTTTCTAACTGCAAAGATAATTAACTCATGGCTGTGAATATTAACACTTATGGCTATATGTTCATATTACACTTGTCAGCCCCCTAGGCTTCAGTGAAAATTGAAAGGAATAAAACTAGAGCTAACAAACACAATTAAATATGCAAATTGTGAAGGCTCTATACTTTGTGTAATTACATCTGTGAAAAATGGGCTTTGTTACCTTGTGGCATTTTTTTTTTCTCTCTGAGATGCAAATTTTTTAGGTGTGTCCTTTTCTAAATCATGTCCAGTCAGTTGAATTCTCCACAGGTGGACTCCAATCAAAGTGTAGAGACATCAATGCTCCAGAGAAATGGGACTCACCTGAGCAAAATTTCAAATGTTATTTCAAAGAATCTGAATCCTTGAAACGTCAGTTTTATCTTTTTAATAAATGTGCAAAGTTATCACAAATCTGCCGTTATCACAAAATTATTTTGCGTTGTCGTCGGGTATAAAGTGTGGATTTATATGAAAATATATTTTAAAGCATTTTAAGCAACAAGCAAAATGTGAATGCACTGTAAAATAGTTGCTGTAACAGTGACATCTTGTGGTTATTTTGGGTTTATTTTTTCACGTGTAGTGGAGTATATACAGTATATGTGCATCACATTTTTAGGATGCTTCTTCTTTTCCCTTTCAAGGAAAGTCTGTTCACTCGGCGGCCATATTTGCAACACCTCCGGGCAGCTCATCCTAGACCAAGTCCTAGATGATGTATAAATCTCAATTTCGAGAAATTGACCCTTATGACTGGTTTTGTGGTCCAGGGTCACAAATGTTCTTTTTTTATTTTTACAGTATTTTAGTTATTCACAGTTTATAGTATGGACTTGCTGATAACCAATTAACAGGCATTTACTGTAGCATTTTTACAGTCTTCTACTGTTAAAATTACGATAACTTTTTACAGTGTTGAGAAACTACAGATAGGATATTCTGAATTTGGATTTTAACTCATTCTGACACACAGACATCAATAATGTATGAATCGCAGCAATGGTGAGATGATTCATGCTGCAATGCATGCTGGGAGCCATTGATGAGTTTTGTATGGTGCACCCAGCAGGCATTGCAACATGAACCATATCACCTTTGTCATTTGGACAGCCGTACTGTATGTGTGCACTGTTTAACTGGGGAAGTGATGGCGCCAGAATGCATTGTGAGACAACGAAAAGCCAGTGGAGGGAGTGTGATGCTCTGGGCAATGTTCTGCTGGGAAACCTTGGCCATTCACGTGGACATAAATTTGATATGTGCTACCTACCTAAAACTTGCTGCAGACCAGGTACATCCCTTCATGACAATAGTGTTCCCTGGTGGAATTGGCCTCTTTCAGCAGGATAATGCACCCTGCTACAGAGCACACATTGTTCAGGAATAGTATAAAGAACATGATGAATTCAAGAATTCAGGAAGTTGCCCTGGCCTCCATATTTACCAGTTCTCAGTCCTATTGAGCATCTGTGGCATGTGCTGGACCAAGCAGTTTGATCCAAGACAGTTCTACCTCGTAACCTACAGTCAGGGCCCTTGCTAGCAGGTGAAATTTGGTTATGATTCTAGGGGCCCTCAGCTATTGGAGGGCCCACGGTGATTTTAACCGGGGCCACTTTCTACCCCAGCTACGGCCCTGCCTACATACAGGACTTGATCTACTGCGAACATTTTGGTGCCAGATACCACAGGACACCTGCAAGGGTCTTGTAGAGTCCATGCCTTGGTCTTGATATGATGGCCACAAGTTAAGAATTAATTCATACAATTTATTGATTCATGGCGTTTTCTTTGTTTCTTCTCTTGTTTTAGTTAAATCCTGGCCACATTTTATTAATTCATTACCTCATTTTAAGCAGGCAAACAAATTTGTTCCCTCATTTTAATTTAGTTAAATCGTGATCATGATTGTCATATATAAACATCTATATTCATATATAGTTTCATATATAACTTCTCTTCATACATAATTTCTCTTGTATTTTATTATATCCCAGTTTACAGCATCAAAGAAGACTTCTCACATTGTAGCTACAGGTTTTATGCTAGCACAAAAAAAAAGGAGGTTCAAGTTATTCCTCAAAATATAGGAGCATATAAGAAGCCAATAAGCACCAAAATACACATTTGCCCAGTTCTGCTTCACATGACATAGGGTGTTTTGAAATTGTATTTACAGCAAATCAAGATAAAAACATAACATCATAGAAACAACAACAACAAAAAACAAGACAATTAACAAAGAAAATCAGGAACACATTAGACAATACACACAATAACAATATATAATAGTAAAATAGTTAAAAAAAAATTTTTTTTTGCTTTGTCAAATGTCTGATTTATTGGAAAAATCTGCCATTATGACAAAAATAAACTTTTTATCTCTCTCTAAAATGTGTGAGCTGTAAGGAGTCAGTATGCTTGAGAAATGCAAAACAGTTGAGATCCTACAGTAGCTGCCACATGTGCAAAGAGAAATATCCTACCTGGTCTCATGGAAAAAAATATCTGAAAGTAAGATTAAACAAGACTGCTCTATGTTCATCTTTATCATGCATTCTGCATACTAAAAAGCACTGTCATGAGACTTAAAGGAACACTCCACTATTTTTGAAAATAGGCTCATTTTCAAGTTTTAAGTAGGAAAAATATAGAAACTCTTTGGTCTTTTTTGAGCGAGATGCTAACGGTCTAATCAGATTCAATGATCTATGCTAAGCTACAGCTAAAAGTGCTACCGCCAGACCCGGAGATCGGCTGAATGGATTCGAAAACGGTAAAACTCAACTGTTTAACTCTAGGGGAGTTGGAAAATGAGCCTATTTTCAAAAATAGTGGAGTGTTCCTTTAAGACCTGTTCACCCCAAGAACGATAACTATAAAGATAACTATGAAGATAAATATTAGTGTCCACACCAACAAAAGATAAAGTTTGTTTATCATAAACTAGGGCTGTGCAAAAAATCAAATGCGATTTTCATGTGCATCTCGTCAGTAAAGCCGCTTCTGGTGATTAGTAGTAAATCTCCAGCACGTGCTTTCAGATGGAGCGGCATTTACTACACAGAGCCGTAGTTCACTGACAAGCTACACAAAATCGCGTTCAAAATCGGCAATGAATCGCATGAAAATCGCATGAAAATCGATTTTTTGCCCAGCCCTATCATAAACGTACACCACAGTTTTGTCATCTGCAGCTTTAAATGCTCGAGCTCTTTTAAAGTTGCATGAATTCTAATTGGCTGTCAATGTTTTTTCTCATTCATCATTTGGAAAATCATTCCAGTGATTCCAACGAAATTGTTCCTCTATATAATGGTATTGTTATAGTTGTGATGTGGACTTCCATATTCTCATACAATTATAATGATTATTAAGACTAGTTATTGTTATAGTTATCGTCCTTGGTGTGAATGGAAACGCTTGTGTACATAAAGCCAAACTCCTCTGACTGATACAGATGTTAAAGATTGCATGCTAAAAAGATGACATGCTGACTGATTGTACATATACCTGTATGAGTTTGATGGCATATGATATTTCAGAAAGCAGACGTGTGTGAGGTGTCCACTGACTCTGACCATAAAGAGCTCCTCCGTGACACCAGAACCGCTGGTCCCATCAGCGTGAAGCCCAGCGGTTTCAGCATGTCCAGCAGGTGTTGGCGAAATTTCACCCCCACGAAAGCGTAAAGCACTGGATTGACACAGCAGTGTAAGTAGCCCAATGTGGATGTAGCTGTGAGAGCTACATCTAATGCTGTGGCACTTTCACAGGATGTTTGATTACTGAGATTGATGGTCTTATTGCTTTGTATGGTGTCAATGATGAGAGTGATGTTGTATGGCGTCCAGCTGATAAAGAAGGCCAGTACCAGGGTTACAATGACACGGATGGCCCTCTTTTTCTGCATGCACTGTGAGCCATGCTGCAGCCTCTTCAGGATGTGATAATAACAGAACAGCATTATTATTGCTGGAAGAATGAAACCCAAAATATAACTATAAAGATAACTATGAAGATAAATATTAGTGTCCACACCAACAAAAGATAAAGTTTGTTTATCATAAACTAGGGCTGTGCAAAAAATCAAATGCGATTTTCATGTGCATCTCGTCAGTAAAGCCGCTTCTGGTGATTAGTAGTAAATCTCCAGCACGTGCTTTCAGATGGAGCGGCATTTACTACACAGAGCCGTAGTTCACTGACAAGCTACACAAAATCGCGTTCAAAATCGGCAATGAATCGCATGAAAATCGCATGAAAATCGATTTTTTGCCCAGCCCTATCATAAACGTACACCACAGTTTTGTCATCTGCAGCTTTAAATGCTCGAGCTCTTTAAAGTTGCATGAATTCTAATTGGCTGTCAATGTTTTTTCTCATTCATCATTTGGAAAATCATTCCAGTGATTCCAACGAAATTGTTCCTCTATATAATGGTATTGTTATAGTTGTGATGTGGACTTCCATATTCTCATACAATTATAATGATTATTAAGACTAGTTATTGTTATAGTTATCGTCCTTGGTGTGAATGGAAACGCTTGTGTACATAAAGCCAAACTCCTCTGACTGATACAGATGTTAAAGATTGCATGCTAAAAAGATGACATGCTGACTGATTGTACATATACCTGTATGAGTTTGATGGCATATGATATTTCAGAAAGCAGACGTGTGTGAGGTGTCCACTGACTCTGACCATAAAGAGCTCCTCCGTGACACCAGAACCGCTGGTCCCATCAGCGTGAAGCCCAGCGGTTTCAGCATGTCCAGCAGGTGTTGGCGAAATTTCACCCCCACGAAAGCGTAAAGCACTGGATTGACACAGCAGTGTAAGTAGCCCAATGTGGATGTAGCTGTGAGAGCTACATCTAATGCTGTGGCACTTTGACAGGATGTTTGATTACTGAGATTGATGGTCTTATTGGTTTGTATGGTGTCATTCACAGGATGTTTGATTACTGAGATTGATGGTCTTATTGCTTTGTATGGTGTCAATGATGAGAGTGATGTTGTATGGCGTCCAGCTGATAAAGAAGGCCAGTACCAGGGTTACAATGACACGGATGGCCCTCTTTTTCTGCATGCACTGGGAGCCATGCTGCAGCCTCTTCAGGATGTGGTAATAACAGAACAGCATTATTAGTGCTGGAAGAATGAAACCCAAAATATGGTAGAGCAGACGAGTGGCCAGATGCCAAGAATCAGACGGGTAAAACGAAACACATTCTGTTTTATCCTGACGTCTGGTGTCCTCAGTGGCCACAAGGAATATCCAGTCAGGAATTGTGAGCAGAAGGCAGAAGAGCCAGACCATCAGGCAGCAACAGTGAGTCACCATTGGCTTTTTACGAGAATACATCTGCACTGCATGGACGATGGACAGGTAGCGGTCAAGACTGATGCAGGAAAGCATGAAAATACCACAGTAGAAATTGATCTGATGGAGAAAGAAGTGACAATGAAATATTGTAATTTTGATTCTTAAAGCAATATTCCTGGTACAAGCTGATTTCAGTCAAAAGCATTTGTGGTATAATGCTGTTTAAAGGATTAGTTCCAGAATAAAAATTTCCTGATAATTTACTCACCACCATGTCTTCTAAGATGTTCATGTCTTTCTGTCTTCAGTCGCAAAGAAATTAAGGTTTTTGAGGAAAACATTCCAGGACATATATTGGACTTCAATGGTGGCCAATGGGTTGAAGGTCCAAATTGCACTATCATAAACGTACACCACAGTTTTGTCATCTGCAGCTTTAAATGCTCGAGCTCTTTTAAAGTTGCATGAATTCTAATTGGCTGTCAATGTTTTTTCTCATTCATCATTTGGAAAATCATTCCAGTGATTCCAACGAAATTGTTCCTCTATATAATGGTATTGTTATAGTTGTGATGTGGACTTCCATATTCTCATACAATTATAATGATTATTAAGACTAGTTATTGTTATAGTTATCGTCCTTGGTGTGAATGGAAACGCTTGTGTACATAAAGCCAAACTCCTCTGACTGATACAGATGTTAAAGATTGCATGCTAAAAAGATGACATGCTGACTGATTGTACATATACCTGTATGAGTTTGATGGCATATGATATTTCAGAAAGCAGACGTGTGTGAGGTGTCCACTGACTCTGACCATAAAGAGCTCCTCCGTGACACCAGAACCGCTGGTCCCATCAGCGTGAAGCCCAGCGGTTTCAGCATGTCCAGCAGGTGTTGGCGAAATTTCACCCCCACGAAAGCGTAAAGCACTGGATTGACACAGCAGTGTAAGTAGCCCAATGTGGATGTAGCTGTGAGAGCTACATCTAATGCTGTGGCACTTTCACAGGATGTTTGATTACTGAGATTGATGGTCTTATTGCTTTGTATGGTGTCAATGATGAGAGTGATGTTGTATGGCGTCCAGCTGATAAAGAAGGCCAGTACCAGGGTTACAATGACACGGATGGCCCTCTTCAGTCGCAAAGAAATTAAGGTTTTTGAGGAAAACATTCCAGGACATATATTGGACTTCAATGGTGGCCAATGGGTTGAAGGTCCAAATTGCAGTTTAAGTGCAGCTTCAAAGGGCTCTATAAGATCCCAGTCGAGGAATAAGGGTCTTATCAAGCGAAACGATTGGCCATTTTCTAAAAAGAATGAAAATTTTATATACTTTTTAACCACAAATTGCACTATTGCACTAGCTTCAGGATGCGCGTCAGCAAATTCACACATTACGTAATCACATTGGAAAGGTAACACGCGGTTAGCATATGACTTTCTTTGCACAGTCGCTTTGTAAACAATGCAGTACTTCCCCCTACGTCA